ACATCTCAATGCCCAACACTTTTTCTCACTTCTTATTTTAATGGAATCAATTGTCTAATTTGGTAAATGTTTTTCTAGTTGTGTATTAGCTTTGACCTTTTTGGGGGTAAACATTGTATCAACATACTTAACAGATAATTGAAAAAGGAGAAGACTCAAGAAAAAAACAAAAGTGAATTTCTCTATTATATCAGACTTCAAAATAGCCACATTAATGATGCTATCATTCTGAAATTACAAATAATGAATATAATAATTTAAAACAAATATTAGGACTAAAATAAATGTTAAACAATTTAAGTCTACAAGTTACTATATGCTTAAATATAAATTGCCTTTTTTAAGAAGCAAAGATATTTGAAACACTGTTGCCTGCTGTGTTCTACACTGCTTTCTTAACAGGCTAGGCTCCTCATATTGCCTCTCAAATCTGGATCCAAACCATTTAGAGCACCCTGAACTCCCGAGCCTCGCAAGCCTTCGGCCCTCACAAGCCTTCGGCCCTCACAAGCCTTCCTGGCCCCTTCCTAGGCCCTTCCTGGACCTTCTCTGCACACCTTTACCAGACTATACCAATGGCAGACTCACTTATTTACTTCTCCCACTATACAGGAAGTTTCTTCAACACAGGAACTGTGTCATTTTTATGATTGTTCCTCAGTGTTCAGCTAATGTCTGGCCTATGGTGGGCAATAATCAATGAGAAGGAGACTGTGAGGAGCAAAGAGAAGTTGGCCGGTGAGTACGATGAGCTCTAGCATCTATAACTGAACTGGGAGATCTCTACATGTCAGACCTCCTCCTACTTCCTTTGTCATTCTGATTGAAGGATCCGCATCTACTGAGATACTGTTTATTATTGCCCCTGGGCTTTGCTCTTACTCAAGATGACAACTTTCCTTGACTGGTCCTGCAATGACACAAGCTAAGGGCAAGGGATAGAAAAACCACATATTTCCACTCACGTATTGGCCCACAGGGGGGCCTGTAACTCCAGGGGTCCTTACAGAGCTGATCTGTAATTTTATTTCTCCACTGGAAAAAATACTGAGTGCATACTACAGAACAAATATCAGGAAGATGGTTAGAACATGGCCACCATCTGAAAGGAGCTCAGATCTAGGTGTGGGCAGGATTCAGTTTTATAAAATAGGTCTTGCAATAAGACCGACAAGTGCTACACTCCTAGTATAAGGTGTGGACAAAGTGATATCTGGATAGAGAACAATGGATTCAGCCTGGAGTTATCAAGGGAAGCTTCAACAACGTGGCAAGAGAGTAAAGACCTTGAAAGCCAGCAAGGCAAAGGGGCCCTCCAAGGACAAAAATTATTTCTGCCAAGACACTATGGCCTCCCCTTCAACTTTAAAGAAAGTCCATTTCACTCCATGGCCTGTAAAGTTCTCAGTAGTCAGTATCCTCTTACCTTTCTGTGTGACCTTGTTTCCTTCCACTGTCCCCAGCACCCTCCATTCCTCTTGCCATACTGCCTCACACCTGCACACTCCTTCCTGCCACAGGACCCTGCCTTAGCTGTCTGTCCTTACAGGCACTTTCCTGAATCTCCCTATCCTCTCATTAGATTTTCAGTTTAAAAGTCTCCTCCTTGGGTTGCAGGAGTGGCTCAAGTGATAGAGCAGCTGCCTAGCAAGCAAGAGGCCCTGAGTTCAAACTCTAGTCATGCCAAAAAAAAAAGAAAAGAAAAAAAAATAGGTGAAATTAAAAGTCTCCCCCATCAGTGATTGAGCACTTACCTAGAGTGTGATCTCAGGAGGTCCTGCAGAAAGTCTTCTTAGAACAAGCTTCTATTGACCAAATCACCCTGCTACCATTCTATGCATGGCAGTGAACTTACTTCGATACTTTTGTGTGGGTGTGCTTGTATATATATATATACATAAGTGCATGTGCCATCTATTGTTTCCCCATCCAAGGTTCTTCCCAGCAGGCACCAGACTGTCTTTTTCATTGTTGTTGTCCCGAGTGCCTAGAACACCTATAGATGCTCAATAAATATTTTTTGTGTCACTGGGGCTTGAACTCAGGGACTATACCTTGAGCCACTCACTCCACCAGCTCCTTTGTGTGAAAGGTTTTTCAAGATAAGGTCTCGTCAACTATTTGCTCGGGCTAGCTTTGAACCTTGATCCTCCCGATCTCTACCTGCTTCCAGAGTAGCTAGGATTTCAGGCATGAGCCACGGCACCCAGCTAATAAATATTTCTTGAATGAAGCGGATAAATGGACAAAGGCATGAACAACTCAGTGTTTATTGAATGAGGAGCTGGCAGAGAAACACGACGACGCACCATATGCTGGAGAAAGACAGTTGTTGGCTGTGGGCAAGGGAAGGTCTGAGCAGGAGAAGATGTTGGAGGGAATAAGAGAGCACTTGAGGACAAACCACTAATTCATAATGGGATGGCCCTTCATCTCCTGGCAACAGGAACCAAAAAGCAAATTTAAGTAGGGAGTGTCTTGATTGGATCATGATTTTAAGAAAACCATTCTGGTCTCAGCATGGAGTTTGGGCACTGGAAAACCAGCTGGGGTGTGGGTGGAGGGTGGGAAAGGAGGATTGCAGATTGTTTAATCCAAGCAAGAGTTGAAGACAAAGCTAGGTGTGGTGGTGCAGGTCTGTAATCCCAGCAGAGGTTGAGGGAGGAGGACTGTGAGTAGCCAACCTGAGCTACATACTGACATCCTTTCTCAAAAAAAAAAAAGAGTTGAAGACAGTCTGGCCTAGAGCAACCTTTGAAAGGTAGAAATAAGGAGAGACCTCTCTGAGACAAAGCTGAGGGACTGGGGGATCTAGGACTGGATCAGGTCTTTGTGGGAGAAAGGAAGGCTGGATGGGGCAAAAGGAACCCACATGGAAAGTGTTAATAGCAGCAGTTTTAGGTTCAGTGATGTTGGGTCTGAGGTGCCTGCAGAACAACTTTCTCTGAATCTCCAGCAATTGTGCCACCACCACCCTGGTCTCCCTGCCCCTCTCTCTTCTTTTTCCTGGTTTGAATTACTCCCACAAGTCCTGAATATGCCTTGCAACTCAGCATGCTAGGGCACTATGCCAGCAGGCACTGCATTCCTGAGGAAGGCACAGGGTTCAGGCCTGAGGGTCTGGCTGTGGCCACCCGAGGGGGCGGCTCCCTGACAGGAAGGAAGGGAGGCCTGCTGCTGGGCACACACAGGAGCTTCCTGCCGCTACAGCAGGTGCCCAGGCAGCTGTTCCAGCCCCTCAGGCTAAGATCAACAGGATGGGACAGCCCTATCGGAAGGAAGCCTACAGGGAGGGACACCGGTGCAGACAGAAGCAGGGGCAAGGGGTGGAGGGAGGCAGGAAGAGCTGCCTGGGCTGCTGAGCTGGCGCCACTCCAACAGACTCAGGACAGGCAGTGACAGGAGGCCATTTAGTTCCCATCTTCCCCCACCTCCATCGGTATTATTATCATCATTACTTCTGCTGTTGGTTGGCCTGGGCCTTAGGTATACCAGAAGCGACCATCAAATGATGTCTGTAGATATGGCAGTTTCTAAAAAAAATCAATTCCTTTCTATGGCCATGCCCATTCTGTGGTTATCAGGAAAGGACGCTTGCATTCTTAGCCCTTTGGTCCTGCAGGGAAGTACGACAGCCCACAGGAGGGGCACTGACTTTTGTCTCATGGTCTATCTGCCTGTCCAAAGGAGATAAAATCTCCGGTTTGCTTTAAGCCCTGTTATCACTGCCCAGGCTCCAACAGCTGCTGTGAGCCGGCATAAGCGGTCAAATGGAGGCAAAGCCATGGGCTCTCAACCAGGATGCCCCAGCCCTGGCTGCAAAGCCCAGCTTGCCGGGAAGGAAGCGGGTGTAAAGGTGGGGAGGTGGCGTTTTAGGGGACGGTGTGTCTTTGATCTGACCAGGAATCTCACCTCCAGGCGCGCCCCGGCGGGAGCCTGGAGACCCCAAGAGACCCCTTCTCACCCCACACCACAAGGGGTGGTCCAGACAGGGCGTTTCCGAAAGCCTTGGTGCCGGGGGGGGGGGGGTGGAGTGGGGCGTGTGAGGTCTACCTTCGAAACCGCTCTTAGATCGCGATTTAAACTCCAACTACATCGAGCTCAAACTCGGTTCCGCAGCCGAGTGCCCGCGTCAGGGGACTGGAACTCGGGTCTGTGGCTCACCGCCCCGCCATTGGCCCTGTTGGCGGGGCTCCCTGCAGTCCCCGCACCAGCGTCTCAGCCGCCCGGGAGGAGGGACGGGATGGGCGGGGCGGGCAGAGGCGGGTGCTGCGGCGGGTGCCGCAGATGGGGAGGGCGAGCCAGCGCCGGGGCCCGGGCGCGGGCGGGGGCGCGCGAGCAGGTGTCTGCTCCGTGACACCCCCGCTCTGGAGCGCCCCACGGCTCAGCGAGGCAGCAACCAGCAAGTGCTTAGAAATGCAGATCGGGTCGGCCACTGCGCCGCTTCTTCTCCAGACGCGCAAGAGGACGGAGCTTCCATTGCAAATGTCTTGGCTCGGGTCCGTTGGCTTGCAGCCGCGGCCGGGCGTCCCGCCCACTTCGTGGCGGGCTGAGCTGGGGCCGGGCGCGAGGGGGGACTGGGCGGAGCGGGTATCCCTCCCCACCCCCCACGTGGGGCCGGCCCTCCGCAGCGCCTGGACGCGCCGCCGCCGCGCCTCCCCTTTAGGCTTCATCCCGCGGCGCCGCCCCCCTAAACCTAGAGCGGGGAACCCAAGTCGAGGGGTGGGCGAGGGGCGTCACTGAGTCAGGTGGCCGCGGGAGTTCCCCCGGGCAGGGCCAAGGCAACACGCTGCCGGGGGTTGTGTACACGCTCCACTGACAGAGCTTCACGCTGCCGGGCAGCCGCTGATCACGCGTGGCCCCGCGAGCCCATTGGCCGGAGCCTCACACACCTTTGCCGCTGATTGGCCAGCCGTAGGCTCCGCCCCCGCCCCCGCCCGCGGCGCGGGGCAGGCAGAGAGGCTACCTGAATGGGGAGGGGGCAGACGGCGCGGAGCGCGGCGGCGGTGGCGGCGGGAGCGGCGTCGAGTGTCTCTGTGCGCCCGTCTGTGGCCAGGCAGCCAACAGCCCAGCAGCCACTCAGCTCGCAGCCTGCGGCCAAACAGCCAGCCATGCTCAACTTCGGCGCTTCTCTCCAGCAAGCTGCGGTAAGTCACCTGGGGATGTCCCTGTTCTTTCCTGCCCCGCCGTGCCCGGGGGCCAGCCGGGGCATGAACCTCGGAGCCCCTGACAGCAGCCACGCCTGAGACTCCGGGCTGCAGCGGAGTCTTGGGGGAAGGAAGGGGCTTCCTGCAGGCAGTGGGCATGAGCGAGGGCGTGTGCTGCGGAGGGGGGTTGGAAGAAGAGGACGGGGACCTGGAGACAGGAGGGGGAGCTTGCTGCTTGGTGCCCAAGGGAGGGGAACGGGCAGCTCCACCGGGGGACCTAGGTGGCAGGTGAGAGGGAGGATGACCGCGGAGGCGCGGAGGGAGTGGGGAGGGGCTGCTGCCCTCCGGCCGCCAGGTTAGGGGAAGATTCAGAAGAGCGGGGTGGGGGGGCCCTGCACCTGGCACTGGGGAGAGATGCCCCTGTCTCATCGGGAACGCGACTCAAGCTTTGGGGGTCCGGGGACCCCGGGAGAGGCGCGAGGGCTGCTATCGTAGGAGGTCTGAGCCGGCTTGCAGGACGGGGCCGCTCGGAGGGGCAGATAGCCCGGGGCGGGGGAGGGGGCGCCCGGCGTCGGGGCGGGGGCTGGCGCGCGGGCCCTGCGGCCGCCAAGTGGGGCCGAGGTACCCCGCGGACGTCGGGAGGGGACTCCCATCCTCGGCGGGGCCGGGTGGCCACCTTCTGACGACTTCTTGGAGGCGGCAGGGACCTGCCTCGGGGGTCGGAGGGTGGGAAGCGGACCCGGCATCTGGGCGGGGAGGTGGGCGGGGGAGCCGGGCCCGCGAGACGCGGGGGCCGCGCGTCTGGAGCTTGCGCCTGTGGGGGCTGCACGTCTGGGAACACCCGTGGAGACGCCGCGGGTGGGGGCCCGAGCTGCCGGCAGCCACGGGGAGGGGGCGCTGGGTCTGCGGGAGAAACGGGGTGGTCTGAGGTCCCGTGGGCTGCGTGGGCGGGAAGTGCCCTCGGCCGGGCCTCCGGGGGGCTACGGGCGGGCGATCGGGAGGAGGGCGGCGGCCGGGCTTCCGCGGGGACCCGACTCCTCCTCCCGCAGCTGAGGCGGAGGCTGGGGATGGGCTGGGAGCGGGTGCGCCCGGGGAGCTCCTCGTCCCCGAGTGACCCAGCCCCGGCCTCCGCCAGGGGCGGGATCGAGGCCCGGCCCCGCTGTCGGTTCCTAAGGGAACGGCGGCTCCGGGGAGAGCTGGAAGGGGCGGGGCGCCTCCGGAGCCGGCGCCGCCCCGCCCTCCCCGCGGCCGGCGCGCACTGGCGGGCGGTTGGCGGCGGCGCCCGCGGCCCCTCCCCGCCGGCGCGGGGGCGGGGGCCCGGGCTCAGGAAGTAGGGGAAAGGTGACTGCGCGGCAATTCCCAGTTCACGTTTCCTGCGCCGCCCGGAGCAGTCGCTGATCATGCTTTGTTCACATGCCTCGCCCCCTCCTCCCCCACGCCCCCGCCCAGGGCCGCCCAGCCAATCCGCGCGCGGGCCGCTGCCCAGCTGGCCAATGGCAGGGACAGGGGCGCGGGGACGTGCGCGCGGCGAGGAATGTTCCCAGTGACTCACCCGGGAGCCTCATTGAGGTTAGGGCGGCCCCCTCCGTCGGTCCCCGCCAGCGAGGATCTCCCCCGCCGTCCGCCTCCGCCCTCCCCCTGCGTCTGCCTCTCCCGCCCGTGCCTCCGCCCGCGCTTCCCTTTCCTGCCTAACGCCCTGCTGCTCTTTCCTCTCCTCCCCGTTTCCCTTCACTTCTTTGCCTTTGCGTCTTGGGCTTGTATACATACATGCTCTGTCCATTGCAGCTTACATAAAGGCGCGCGGTTATGCAATTGCATTGTTAGGGGTACTGCAAGGGCAAGGGCTCGTTTTCTTAGGATCTCTACGAAGGCGATCGTGCATTCTTTACAAAAACAAGCGTCAAGAATAATGCTTTGCAATGTAGTGGGTTTTGGTATTTTTGCATAATCTGGTTTTGACCAAAAGAATTGGGAGTTTGAGTGAAAAATAGAGATGGTGGATAGGCCTTTTTTTTTTTTTTTTAAGTGCAGCTTAAGGAACTTTAATATTAAAACATTAAGAGTATTCCAGACTTGCCGGGAGCCAGTGGCTCAGGCCTGTAATCCTAGCTACTCAGGAGGCTCTCGGATTAAAGCTAGCCGGGCCAAATAGTTTTCAAGACGCTATAGCGAATAAAACCCATCACAAAAGGACTGGTGGAGTGGCTCAAGGTGTAGGCCCTGAGCTCAAGCCCCAGAACCCCCCCAAAATATATATATAGTAGACTTCAGTCTGTTTTTGCAACTCTCAAGAGTATTAAATTTCTGATTATCCTGTTTCTATTCTTGTGTCATAGCAAACCATTACGTTAAATAGATCTAGTAGAAGAATGTACAGGCTTGAAGAGGTTGAAACGGGAATTTTTCCACCTTGTTTGACTTGATGTCTCTACCGTAGGTAATCAGATCATCAAACAACTTTAGATTTTAAGTAATCTAATACAACTTTAACCTGGAAGACACCTTGAAGATACCTGATTATTTGATTTTAATCCCCAGTGACTATTCAAATGTCAGAACCATATGAATAAGCAAGAGTTCTGTTCACTACTTTCAAGTGTTGGCCCTTTCTAAAAGCCCTACTAGAAACTCATACGTCAAACTTCAGCGCATACCTGTAAGACAGAGAAAAGAGCTTTTTTGCAAAGTCCTCTAGTCCTCTTATTTTATCTGGCCCCCGTGGCAGGTGGCTACTTTTTAAAAACTGTAAAACACTTTAGTTCTTCTAAGCAAGCCAAGTATGTCCCCTTTTTGAATCACAAGTGCACTAAGAACTCTGGTCTTGGTCTCCTTAATGGTAATAGGGTATTTCTCTCTACCTTGCAAGAATATCAATGTTTAAGCAAACTAAATGTGAAAAGGATGGAGATTTTATTACTGCTACCATGAAGTCTGGGTCACCTGACAAGTGTGACTGAACATTTTGTGTCAGAGGAGGGGTAAGAGAAAAATTATTTAAAATTTTAACTTGGAAGTTGTGTAAGTTGTTAGAAAAAAGGAAACAAAAAAATTGTATATTCTTTTGTGTCATGTGGCTGGCCAAAAAAGTGTGCTGATAAGCTTTAATCTGTCTTCATAGGAGGAAAGAATGGAGATGATTTCTGAAAGGTCGAAAGAAATGTATTCCTGGAACAAAACTGCGGAGAAAAGTGATTTTGAAGCTGTAGAAGCACTTATGTCAATGAGCTGCAGTTGGAAGTCTGACTTTAAGAAATACCTTGAAAACAGGCCCGTTACACCAGTCTCAGATATGTCAGAGGAAGACAGTCTGCTTCCAGGCACACCTGATTTTCATACAATCCCAGCATTTGTAAGTATTCTTCTTAAACTGGTGTAGATTACAGAATTACTGATGATTTAGGTAATGAACTCTGCATTTCTCACCATTACTTTGTTTCTCTTCTCTCTAGTGTTTAACTCCTCCTTACAGTCCCTCTGACTTCGAACCCTCTCAAGTGTCAAACATGATGGCACCACCGCCATCTACTGGACACTTCAAGTCATTTTCAGACACTGCCAAGCCTCCCATTGCTGCACCTTTCAAAGAAGAAGAAAAGAGCCCTGTATCTGCCCCCAAACTCCCCAAGGCTCAGGCAACCAGTGTGATCCGTCACACAGCTGATGCCCAGCTGTATAACCACCAATCCTGCCCAGTGAAAGCAGCTAGCATCCTCAACTATCAGGACAATTCTTTTCGAAGAAGAACCCACCTAAATGTTGAGGCTGCCAGAAAAAACATACCCTGTGCAGCAGTGTCACCAAACAGATCCAAGTGTGAGCAAAACGTTGTGGCAGATGTTGATGAGAAAGGTGCTGCACTTTATGACTTTCCTGTGCCTTCCTCAGAGACAGTCATCTGTAGGTCTCAGCCAGCCCCTGCATCCCCACAGCAAAAGTCGGTGTTGGTGTCTCCACCAGCAGTGTCCACAGGGGGAATGCCTCCTGTGCCCGTCATCTGCCAGATGGTCCCTCTCCCTGCAAACAACCCTGTCGTGACCACAGTTGTTCCTAGCACTCCACCCAGCCAGCCACCAGCTGTCTGCCCCCCTGTGGTGTTCATGGGTACTCAGGTAACCAAAGGTGCTGTCATGTTTGTGGTACCCCAGCCTGTGGTGCAGAGCCCAAAGCCTCCAGTGGTGAGCCCAAATGGCACCAGACTCTCTCCCATTGCCCCTGCACCTGGGTTTCCCCCTTCAACAGCGAAAGTCGCTCCTCAGATGGATTCATCCAGAGTAAGAAGTCACATTTGTGGCCACCCAGGATGCGGCAAGACATACTTTAAAAGTTCCCATCTGAAGGCCCACATGAGAACACACACAGGTACTGACCAATTTCCTTTGTAGCTTTAAGATGAATGTGTAAATGAAGAGTGTAAACTGCCTCATCTGCCACTTCAGTGGGTGATGTTTACCAGTGTAAGTTCCCCCGAAGGACTTTCTCTGGTGCTTTTGTTTACACCTCAGAATAATTCTTTAGATGTCTGAGTAGTTGTACAAAGTATCTTTAAAACTGTTAAAGAAGTTCATATGATAGAGTAAAAGTTAAGAATGGCACAAACATGTCCAGTACTAGTGTGATGGTTTATTAACTTTTATTACTTCAAAACGTACCTCCTCTCATGCCTTTAGATGTACTACAGCATGTGACTGGGAGGTTTAATAAATGTTCTGACAGTGCACTAATTTTTTTGTTGCAGGAGAAAAGCCTTTTAGCTGTAGCTGGAAAGGTTGTGAAAGGAGGTTTGCCCGTTCTGATGAACTGTCCAGACACCGGCGAACCCACACGGGTGAGAAGAAGTTTGCCTGTCCCATGTGTGACCGGCGGTTCATGAGGAGTGACCATTTGACAAAGCATGCCCGGCGCCATCTGTCAGCCAAGAAGCTCCCAAACTGGCAAATGGAAGTGAGCAAGTTAAACGACATTGCTCTACCTCCAACCCCTGCGCCCACACAGTGACAGACCAGGAGGTGAAGAATCAGAACTAACTTTGGTCACAGCCAGGAGCCAGGGGTGGTGTCAAAATGCTTCCGCTGCAAGTCTATGGCCCTCCATTGGGGGCTGAAGGCAGAAGTCCCCTGACCTGAGGTGAAGGCCCAGCCTGGGTTAGATGACAAGAAGTGCTTCGGCCACAGGCAGGTCACAGAAGGGCAAGTTTCATTTCTTATCACATAAGAGAGATGAGAAAGCTTGTATTCCTTTGAATATTTTTTGAAGGTTTCAGATGAGGTCAACACAGGTAGCACAGATTTTGAATTTGTGTGCACATTTGTTACTTTATTTTTGCTGTTTATGCTTGAGACCAACTTCAGTGTGATTCTGAAACACTGGTTTCAAGAAGACAGAGACTGGACGTTACGGTACAGAGATGGAGACAGAAAATCAGTTTGTATTACACAGAGATTGTCATCTTTTCCTCGAGTTATCTTGTTTATTCCTGGTCTTCGCAGTGAACTTTGTGGGTGTACTCATTAAATATATCTAGAGCTACCATTCTTATACTTGTTGATATTTGGAATTGAACAGCTGTACATTGCTAAAGGAGGCCCAAATTGGAATCCTCATTAATTTAATTGCTTTGAAGTGCAGCTCCAATTTTCGTTTTGACTTTTTATTTTGAAAGTTTAACAAATGACTCTTTAGGCATTTTATTATACTTTGGACTTTAGTTTGCCTGCAGTTTCTTGTGTAGATTTGAAAACTGTATACCAATGTGTTTTCTGTAGACTCTAAGATACACTGCACTTTGTTTAGAAAAAAAGTCTGAAGATGAAAATATATATTGTAAAGAAGGGATATCAAGAAATTTAGATAACTCCTTGAAAAAGATGGCTTTGTTATCAGTAAAGTACCCTTAACATGAAGATATAATGTGTGCTTTATTACCTTTGTCCATTATTTCCAGATGGACAAATGTCCTATGTATTTATAGGAGTTTTTCGGGGATGTGGAAGTAGATAGGTAGGTAAATTATTAGAACATTTACTTTCTTTTCACCTTGAAAATAAACATTTACAATCTGCAGAGTTAACTTCTTACCACTGCAACATTGGCACTACCTGAGAAATTGAGTAAGTCTTACTGTGTCACAGTGTGGTAGTTAGTATCTGAAGTGCTACAGGTGGAGCCCAGGCCTTTGTGCATGCTAGCCAAATGCTCTACCACTGAGCTCCAGCCCCAGCCTCCAACATTCACTTTTGCTAACAGTATTTCTGTTATATTCTGTTGTATAGTGGATGATATATACAGTGGTAAAAGTAAATTGTTTAAAATATATAGTGAGAAATGTCACTATGTTCCCATTTAAAACTTTTCTGTATATTGGATATAAATTTCTGACATCAAAACTTAGAACAATGGAAAACAGTTTTTTGTTGATTAAAAAAATCCTTGTGAGTTACAATTTGCACAATTTCTTTGGTTGTACTTTTTATCTTGTTTACAATAAAGAATTTCCTTTGGTATATATAATTGGCTGATTGCATTTGTTAAACATTTTCAAAGCTGGGACTGCCTGTAATCCTAGCTACTCAGGAGGCAGAGATCAAGAAAAGGTCACAGTTCAAAGCCAGCCTGGGCAAAATAGTTCATGAGACCCTATCTTGAAAAAAACCCATCACAAAAAAAGGGCTGGTGGAGTGGCTTAAGGTGTAGACCCTGAGTTCAAACCCCAGTACTGGAAAAAAAAAATTCAGGCCAGACATAGTGACTCGTACCTGTAATCCAGCTACTCAGGAGGCAGGGATGAGGAGAATAGCAGTTGGAGGTCAGTCCCAGGAAAAAGTTAAGGAGACCCCATCTCAACAAACAAGCCCCAGGGGGTGGAGTGCCCATGCTGCTTGGGAGGCATAGTTAAGAGGAGTGTGGTCTAGCCCCTGGACAAAAAGTGGAAGACCCTATCTGAAAAATAAAGCAAATTTTTAAAAAAGGCTGGGACATGGCTCAAGTGGTAGAGTACCTACCTAGCAAGCATGATGCCCTGGGTTCAAACCTCAGTACCGCATAAAAAAAGAAAATTGCTGGACGCCGGTGGCTCACGCCTGTAATCGTAACTACTCGGGAGGCAAAGATCAGGAAGACCATGCTCAAAGTCAGTCCAGGCAAACAGTTTGTGAGACACTATCTCAAAAAGAACCCATCACAAAAAAAAAAGAGCTGGTAGAGTGGCTCAAGGTGTAGACCCTGAGTTCAAACCCCAGTACTGCCAAAAAAAAAAGATGATTTTCAGCCTCACCTTGCCATTAGTCACTTTAGTATCCAAGGACTTAGTGTCTGACTTTCTGTACGGTCTCATTAAAACTGAGAACTAATGGGAACAAGTCTTTCCAGTGAATCAGTTTCGAGTGTACAAAGCAAGGTCACATATCTGTCTCTGTTCAGATGGTCTGTGAGCCAGCCGTTCCAAGAAACCACAGTTTAGTTTTCAAAGTCTTGGACATTTTGGTGATTTGAAGTTGAACTATAGCTTTGGCTCTCAGCAAAACCTTGTTAAGTAGCATTTAAGGTAAAGGGAACACCACAGTGAATAATTATAAACAATGACACTGCTGTGGCAAATGAAAAGAAGGCTGACCTGTTACCCAGAGTCAATTGCTCACCCTAGAAATTAAGTTAACTCAGACCAGGAAGTGATGCCTAAAGTACAATGAACACGTACTCAACTCGCGTGAAAGGCGACTGCCCCCTAAGAGAAACGCTTGCTGTGCACTCAGTAGAAGGAAGAGCTGTAAATGGGGCATAATTACTGTAAGGTTGCTATTTTAGTTTGCTCTGAAATCCCCTTGTGGTCCCAAGACCACGAAGCCCAACGCAGAGTCTAGCTCACTGCTGGAAGCTGGTAAGGGGCGGTGTACGCATTTGCTACCAGTTGTAGGACAAGTGTCTCGAATTGTCTGTGTACCTGTTGCTACTTTGCTTGGAAATTTAATACCACCTGCATATGACGCACATGCTGGAGGGGGGCCTTGCTGTTACGCAGCCTTGATGTTTGGGAACCTGTCCATCTAAACCCCATGGGATTGCTCAGGGTGGAAGTGCCCAGAAGTGAGGATGAAGAAAGATGATTTAGGTACTCTGTTATCCCAGTGCCCAGTCCTTGTAATGACACAGCCACCGTTGCTGTGGTTTTCTCAGTCCTATTTGGCAACTGAGACTTCACCTAGGAGCCCTGTAAATCAATCATTCAAATACGGTATTTTTCAGTTGAATGTCAGTGAGACGCTGATGTTGATAAAGCTACTGATATTCACTAGCTTTAGCACTTCAACTTTGATTGTTTCTTATCTGACATACATGAAGATGAAATCAGTGATAGCTCTTAACAGTTAATTCTCTTTAGATAATTTTAGGCCTAGAGAAAGAGTTTCTGTGTGTATTTCCTTCATCCAGCGTCTAGTGATAACTTCCTACAGACTAGAACACGTAAAAAGAAATTCGTTAGCCACAGTCCAGTACTACTAGTTTTCCTGCCGCCTTCTTCTGTGTCAGGATCGAATCCAATGTCTGGACTTCTTGTTTCTGGCCTCCAGGCTGTGGTGGCTCCCTGTCCTGTCTCGTGGACAGAACCTGTCGTCACGATTGGACTGAGGTTACGCGTGGATTAGGAAGGCTCCCAGAGTGGTGATGCCCGCAGCACCTCGTCATGCAAAGAAGACATGCTGATGGTTTCTGCTGCAGTGCCAGCCTCACTCACCTGACCAGGCTGATGTCTGCTGGAATCCCCCACTGTAAACTCACTTCTTTTCTATAAATGTTAAGTATTTAGAAAGAAATAAAATATGCAAAAAACCTGTTTCTACTTAGACTTTTCCCCTCACGGTGTCCTTATGGCGCTCTTGCCTGAGGCAGGTATTACTGTAGCATGCTGATTCTCTCGTGAATTCACTGGATTCTGTAGAAAGGAGTTGTTGCTTCTCCATTTACTTACTCAGTGTTTTATTTGTGTCAGTATGGACTCATGGATATGCGTGTCATTCCTTGAGTTATAACAAACACTGTATTTTGTGGCTCAGCTGTCCCAACTTTGGCCATTGTTAGCTCTTTCTGTATTCAATCATTTTGGGTTGACAAAGATGGGAATTTTAGAAGTTTCAACCTGTCATTTCTCACTGGAATGAGAACAATTTGTATTAGTGATTCCACTTTGGGGTGGAGGGGAAGGGGATAAGGGCTTGCTTTGTAGCCCAGGCTGGTCTCTATGTTTTTCTTTTTCTTTTCTTTCTTTCTTTTTTTTAATGGAACGCTTCATGAATTTGCATGTCCTCCTTGCACAGGGGCCAGGCTAATCTTCTCTGTGTCATTCCAATGTTTTTTTAGTATATGTGCTGCTGAAGCGAGCACTCTTTCCTTTCTTTTCTGCCCTCCCCTTCCCTTCCCTTCCCTTCCCTTCCCTTCCCTTCCCTTCCCTTCCCTTCCCTTCCCTTCCCTCCCCTCCCCTCCCCTCCCCTCCCTTCCCTTCCCTTTCCTTTCTTTCTCCTCTAATTGTGATCCTCCTGCCTCAGCCTCCTGAGTGCTGGGATTACATGCAGGCCTCAACACACCCAGTTTCTATTTCATCTTTTTTGGTACTCATCTTGGAAATCCAGTCTGTTGTACATGCTACAGCACGTCTGGATTGGGACCAGTCACATTTTAAGTGTCAGGCCATAGGTGCTAATGGCTGCTGTAGTGCACTGAGCAGGTCTCAGAGACCCTGGCCCCTCGGGCTTCCACCAGCCCCCTCCCCTCCACTTCCCACCTTTTCTCTACTGTGTGTCAAAGCTCTAAGCCTTCATGTGTGATTTCTTCTGGTGGGGCTGTTTCCCCGGCCCTGCTACCTTAACATTTCCTCTATCACAATAATCATTGCTCTTTACAGAAATTGCTTAATGTTATATTTTTTCTTAACCGTAATACTCCATGGGGGCAAGGACTCTGTGAGCCTTGTTCATCAGTGTCTAGCATAGATGGTGCCTAACACG